CTGGGAGGATATTGCTATGGACTTTATCGAGGCTCTTCCTAAGTCGAAGGGATTTGATACAATTATGGTCGTGGTCGATCGTCTCTCCAAGTATGCCCATTTTATCCCTCTCAGTCATCCTTTCTCAGCTCTCACGGTTGCTCAGGCCTTCTTGCACAACATAGACCGTTTGCATGGCATTCCCCGATCAATTGTGTCAGATCGTGATAAAGTCTTTATGAGTTTCTTTTGGCGCGAGCTTTTTACCCTGCAAGGTTCAGAATTGCGTCGCAGTTCAGCTTACCATCCTCAGACGGATGGACAATCGGGGGTGGTTAATTGTTGTTTAGAGACTTATTTGCGATGCTTTGCGGCTGATTCCCCCTCCCGCTGGTCTTCTTGGATATCATGGGCAGAATACAGCTATAATACCTCTTTTCACACTGCTGCTAGCATGACACCTTTCAAGGTGGTTTATGGCGCGATCCTCCTCCATTAATCCGCTATGAGCTTGGCTCTACGGCTAATGCTGATGTTGAAGCTGTTCTCCTTCAGCGAGACGCTATACTTAGGGAGCTGCGTGCTCATCTACACCGTGCACAACAAAAGATGAAAGACTCGACTGATGTGAACGACGTGATGTGAATTTTGATGTTGGGGATTTGGTGTATGTGCAAGTGCGACCTTATCGCCAGCAGTCTCTAGCTCTCTGAGTCAATGAAAAGCTTGCCCCTCGTTTTTATGGACCATTTGCTATTGAGGAAAGAATTGGCGCTGTCGCTTATAAACTTCAGCTTCCTCCAAATGCAAGGATTCACCCAGTTTTTCATGTCTCGCAACTCAAGAAGGCGATTGGCAATCATATCTCTTCTCCCATGGTTCCTTCCACTCTGTCGGCTGATATGGAAATGCTTGTGGAACCTGTGGCCGTTCAAGGGGTGCGTCCATCCACTATGCCTGGAGTTACTGGTTCGGAAGTGCTTATCCATTGGCAAGACCTGCCTGATTTTGAAGATTCGTGGGAGCCTTTTAACTTACTTCGAGACCAATTTCCTCATTTTTACCTTGAGGACAAGGTTAGACTTTGGGCGGCGGGTAATGATAGGCCCCCAATTAACTTTACGTATGCTAGGAAGGGGAAAGGTCAGCTTTCGGCTAAAGGGGGAAATAATTGAACATGGGGGCAATTATGGCTGGAGGGAATAAGGAGAGTCTTGAGGCATTTATAGCTATGTCAGTTAGGAATAAGAAGAGTGTGGGCATTTATAACTTGGCCAGCTGGGCATTTATTGAGGGARTCAGTTATGCTGTAAGAAGAGTATAAGAAGGGGCTTTGGGGGATGAGGGAGGTAGGCTTTTGTTGAGTGAAGAATACTGTGAGTGATTGGGAGAGCCGGCGGTCTCTCGAAGAACCTACCAACTGTTAATGTTCTTCTTTTCTTCTGAATGAATACAGTTCCTTTGTTGATGTTCTAGTTGTGTGAGTTCTGCTGTGAGTCTGAGAATTGTGTGTCAAGTTTCTGGGACATAACACAAGGTTGAAAAGCTTAAGGTTTCTTATTCCAAGCCCGCCTTGTGACTGGGGTTTGCAGATTTGCTCCCAGCTCACTAAGTGATACTTGTGAGAATCTTTCCAGCCTTTCCAAAGAAAAATTCCCATCTTTTTTTCCATTTCCTTTGCTACCTTTGAGGGAATGGGGAATAGGCTCATAAAGTAGGTTGGAAGGCTGGCTAACACACTTTTGATGAGTGTGACCTTACCACCTTTAGAGAGATACCTTGCCTTCCAAAAAGCCAATTTTTGGTCCATCCTTTCTAAGACTGGAGTCCAAATTGCTTTGGAGATACATTTGGCTCCAAGGGGTGGACCTAAATAAGTTGTAGGCAGACTACCCACTTTACATCCCAATATATCAGCCAAATTTTGAATGTTAGGCACCTCTCCCACAGCTAATAGTTCACTCTTAGCTAGGTTCACCTTCAGTCCTGAAATTATCTCAAACCAAAATAGTAAATACTTCAGATTAAGGATTTTGTCCTCTRAAGTACTGAAGAAAAGGAGAGTGTCATCTGCATATTGTAGGATGGGGATTTTTGTTCCATTAGGACTTGCTTCAAAACCCTCTAGAAGATTCAGTTCTGAGGTTCTGTCTACCAACTTGCTAAGACCTTCCATCACTAAGAGGAAGAGCAACGGAGATAGAGGGTCTCCTTGTCTCAGCCCTCTTGAGCTTTTGAAATTTCCTTTTGCTGACCCATTTAGCAAGATTGAGAACCTTGGAGTAGAAACAGACTTTTATCCAATTTCTCCACTTTGGTCCGAAGTGCATTCTTTCCATCATATAGTCTAAAAAAACCCAGTTTACATGATCATAGGCTTTTTCTAAGTCTAATTTTCAACCATCCCTGCTTTTCCACTTCTCTTCCTTGAGTCAATTAACTCATTGGCTATAAGAACTCCATCGTGGATTTGTTTGTTGTGGACAAAGGCACCTTGGAAGCTAGAAACCAAAGAGTYCATTACTCCTCTTAGGGTCTGTTCGTTTCCTCTTAACTCTTATCTCTTAAGAGGAATCTTTTAACTTTAAGAGAAAATTGGTTGTTCATTTCCTCTTATCTCTTATCTTCTCTTGAAGTGCAATCATACAACCTTTTGTTTTCCAATGATACCCCCAAAAAGACAAACAAAAACTCTCATATATGGGGTCAAAATGGATATTTGATAGTTTTCAGAATTCAGAATTCAGAATTCAAAACAATATTCTCTGCATTCAGAGTTCAAAGGAAAGAAAATTTCACCAATACCAATATACCTCTTAATGTAATTATTACACTTTCAGATGTCAGACTTCAGAGCAAATGAACAGGCCCTTAGTCTAGTTGCCAGAATTTTGCTAGTCTGATTGTTAAGTGACTTTTTCTCAAATTGAGAACGCCCCTTCACTCGATCAAATAAGGCCCGTCTGATGCCTTAAACCCTCCCTGCCTTTGCTTTTCCGTTTTTGTGTTTTAATGAGAAAAGCAAAAATGTTTTATTTCTTGGTCTACATATCTATAAAGCCATTGTAAACCCAGGTAAGGATCATAATGGCTAATTTTAGAGAGTTAATGTGTGTGAACCATATCCATGTTGGACATGTGTAGGCACTAATATCAATATGATACATGAAAGGATTCTTCTCTTTGGTACATCTGCAATGTTTGACTAAAGGAACACAAAATCTTAGGGTAAAATGTGGGCATAAATGATAGGGTTGTAATATTTGATAAATTTGTAATACTCACTTTTTCTCAATGATGAATTTGTAATACTGACTTCTTTTTTTTTTTCAAAATGAGAATGCTCCCCCACTCAATCATAAAATTCATCTGTTGATGCCTTAAACACTTCCTGCTTCGGTCTTTTTTGGATGAGAAATGCCAGATGTCTTATTTCTTGATCTCGACCTACATGTTTGTAAGGCCATTGTAATCCTAAATGATGATCATGGAGATCAATTTTAGAGATTAGATAAATCTTTAAAGTGGAAGAGTATTCTTTTATTTATTTATTTATTTTATCAATAAATATTCTTTTACTTTCACTGATAAAAGAAGTTTTCTTTTTCATTGCTGGCTTTGTAGCTATGTCGCATAAAAAGGCCATTACCCAATATTGGTCCCAGCTATCCAGTGTCTTGGGAGGAGTAGACTCGATATAATCCTCACCTTTGAAGATATGTTACATGGACACATAAAAATGGGAACCATGTCCATGTTGGACACATGTAGACACCGTTACCAACATGACACTTGAAGAGATTATTCTCTTTGTCACATCTGTAGCATGTCACTAAAGAGCCTCAAAAACTTTGTAATACTTGATAATCCAATATGATCAATCTTTGTTTGCTTAATGGCGTTTACACTAATTTATGCATCTACATTTGATTTTAGCCCTTCTAGCCCCTTAAACTCTTAATAGATGACTTTTCCCAACATGTTCTGTAGGGGTCTTCTATGTACATGGAGAAACCATCTCAATCTACTTTCTCTCATTTTATTACCTATTGGAGCTACTCCTAGGTTCCTTTGTATTTCTTCATTTCTACTCTGTCCTTTCTAATTTTACCACTCATCCGTATAAGCATTCACATTTCTGCCACACTCATCTTTTGGACATACTGTTTCTTAACTGCCCAAAACTCTACTCCATGCAACATAATTGGCCTTACAACTATTTATTGAATTTTCCATTTAATCGAAGTGGTATTCACCAATCACATAAGACTCCAGATGCASCCCCTCCATTTTTCTCATCCTGCTCTAATTCTATGGATGACATCCTCCTCAATCTCTCCTTTGTTATGACTTATTGAACCAAGGTAACAAGAGACCATCACATTGGACTTACTAGATGGTAATTCTCATAATTACTATTTATAGTAAAATCACAATTTACTATTTCAGTAATTTCTGGTGTCTTTATATTTAGTTTTAGTAGGTGTATTGAGGTGTTATTGGAGTTCTTTAGGAGTTGGTGTCCATATGGGTTACCTACGGATTTGTCTTAGTTTTAAAGCAACTAAAAGTTAAGTTGGGTCAGTTTCTTGGTCCAAAGGAACATGTGTGTTCATATGTTGAGTCCATAGATAAAATCATTGTGATTGCAATTAAAGAGAGTTGATTTGGTGAAGCCAAGTTTGGCTTAGTGAATTCTGGTTGTTGGCATGTTTCTAGTCCCCCCCGTTTCACCTATTTGAATAGGTCTGCCCAAACAGAAAACATGACCTTGAATCTTTTATTTGGAATGCAATGTTGTCCTGCAATGTCATTTGTTAGGTGCACAGATTTCTTATCTTTCTTGTGTTTTTTTTTTTCAGTAAGGTAATGATGACAAAGATACTCAGTAGTAGTCTGGTTATGATTTTAATTTCTTCTATTTGACATAATTATTTTCTGAAATTGTAAGTTTTATTTTTGCAGAAATATTAATAATATAAATAGAAATACTTTGATTTTGTTGAAATCTGCTTGGGTAGGTAAAGTTCTCTCTCAAAGCTGCAAGTTTGGCTCAAGAGAATGCCTCTCTCGGGATCTATGATGCTTCAGCTGGTACTTTCTGATCACCCATTCTAAACCATGAACTAGTTCTAAAGTTTTTTTTTTTTGATAAATAATAGTTCTAAAGTTATTTAGTGGTTCTGTGTTCTACATTTCCCTTAGTAAGGTTGGGGAAAGAGAGATAATCTTATGATATGTGTTCTTCCTCTCTTCAGTTTCATCAAGGCAATCAAGGGTTCTAGCAGAGGATGCATTCTTTCATCCATCCATTATGTCTGTTAGCTATTACTCCTTTGAGCATTGCTTTGCCATATACACGGTTAGTTACTACAGCCACATCTTGAACTGACATAAGTATTCCTCTTTTCAGAGCAAGTAAATATCTAGCTAGTTTCTAGTTGGATAGGTAGCATGCATATTGAGCTATCTGACAAATGCATCTATGCAAATGCTGCACAGTAAAGGGGTGGAACCACCACTTGAGGATCCAACCACCCAAGATACTTTGCTGGTAATCCAGCTGTATAAATTTTATTCTTGTGTTCCTTGGGGTTTCAAACAAGTCTCAAAAATGTCACATTTAATTAGGGCATCTTGTAAAATGATATACCATGTCCAGTTTCTTTGAGCATTGTCTATGTGTGTTGCAATATATACATTAAATTGAAGATTAAATCAAGTGATTGTACAGGCACATGTTGCATAAGTGGGGGTCCAGATATATAACAACACCTTTACATGACAGTTTGAGCAGGTCTAACTAGGAAAATTTTATATTGGTTTATGATTTTTTATTATTCTTTAAATGCCACGTATATGTAAAAGTTGGTAGGATGTATTCTCATCATTATCCAAACCTTTGTCCCAACTATATGAAGCTGGCTACATAATCCTATTCTCCTAATCTGTTCTATTCAGTGCCATATCCATTGGTAAAATGGGCCCTTAAATAATTACTCACTACTTCCACCAATGCCAATGTCCTTTTTGGCTTTTGCCCCTAGCACTTCTAACCCTTTAGCTAGTAATGGATTACTTCTTACTAGTGCTGTAGATGGTCTTTCTCTGAGTCTGGATAGGTTGGAGACAAAATCAAGCACAGGAGCGAACATATTAGTCTTTCCATACAAATTAGGTGTGGATCCAACATGGGCCACATGTGTACAGAACATTGGCATGCTCACTCGTGTAGGATTCAAAGTATTGATACAACCAATACACACAACAGGTGTATCAGGTGTTTCAATACCTAATAACTTTTTTTAGTTTTTTTTCAAGATTGCTTTAAGGGTTGATTTTAGGTTTGTCTACCCCCCCCCCCTAAAACTGTTGAAGTACAACACATCCCTTATTTGGGTTTTCAAGGGCCTGCCAATGCGATACAATACACTTGATACTGGGCATATCATGTCAAAATTTTGAAGCTTGCACTCATGATAGGTTGCCCAGCCCAGTGTGCTTGATTTTGTCTCCAGCCCATCCAGTCCCTTTCTCTACCTATGCTGAAACCATCTTGATCTACTTTCTAAGAGATTATCATGGGCCAGGTCCAGGCTTGGTTTTTACAGGGTAGTACAGCATGTAGGGCTGCCCAGGCCCAGCCCAGCCTACCTGATAATATGTCTGGACCGGGCTGGACCAAGCATCTGGGTTTTCCCATGGAAATTAATAAAATTACATTTTTAAAAATCGAAATTATAATTTGAGTTATAATCAAAATTACAAAACATACATACATACATATATAATTCAGTATATGGTCTTAGATAGCAATCATAGCATAAATAAATCAATTTCTAGTAAGCTCTTTAAAACAAGTCAACTTTGACAACTAAATATAAACAAAACAAATTACAAAGTAGAGAACTAATTCTTAACTGAATTTATTCGAACCACAATGAATTACAGCAATTGTAGAATCAAATGTTGGATTCAAACAAAAATCGGAAGATTTTTTTAGAAAAGGACTCAGGCATAAGATTTGAATAGATATCCTTGGGATTAATGATTCAAATAGTGAATCTTATTGTAAATTGTAAAATTTTAACATTGGTTGGGCTCGGGTTTTAGGGCTGCAGGCTGGGCCTGACCTAAACTTGGGTTGAAGTCTCAAGTAGCTTGAGCCCAGCCCAACCCTACCTGAGCCCACCCGAACAAACACATGCATATGTGTATTATTTTTATACAAAAATATCTTTTTTCTAATTATGCGTACATGTGTATATGTATAAAATATGTATATATACATTTGTAAGTCAAATGTGTATATATTTTCAATCAATTCAACTCTTAAATTGGGCCATAAAGCCCAATAAAAGATGGCTATATAAAAATATATACATAAATTCTTTCAAGCCCAACCAACCTGCCCAAGCCCTACCAAACCAACTCGGCTCAACCTTAGTTGTGTTAGGTTGGACCTGGATTGATAAACTTGGGATTAACCATGGGTTAGGCCAGGCCCGAACCTAAGGTTTACACCTTTAGGGTTGGGCCTAGGTTGACCTTCAACCTGACCCAACCCACCAGAGTTGCACCCCGAGGCCCAACCTGCATTGTGTGCCAGCCCGGGGAAAGCCAGGTCTAGAAGAAAAATATATAACTGGGCCTAGAAATTTCCAAGAGAGGCCAGACCTAGCAATGCGGCCACATGCAGAAATAACCAACTCTACTACTTTCCCACATTTTATCATCTATTGGAGTTACTCCTAGTTTCCTTATTCATTTCTAATCCTATCCTTCCTAGTTTCCTTGTTTATCAATCTCAACATTTGCATTTCTACCACATTCAATTTTTAGTCTTGTTGTTTCTTGATTGCCCAACACAATGCTCAATATAATATTGCTGGCCTTAGACTGTTTTATAGAATTCTCCTTTCATTCTAAATAGTATTCTCCTATCATGTAAGATTCCAGATACACCACTCAATTTTGCCATCTTGTTCAATCTCTTCTTTATTATGGATTACTGAACCAAGGTTATGGAAGATGTCACAAAAAAGTCCATTACCAAATGGTCCTAGCTATCTAGTGTCTTGGGAGTAGGTTGGATATGGACCTAACCTTTGGCTTTTTTTATGTGTGTGCACAAAGTAGCCACTATCAGACTTGGACCCACATTATCATGCTTGGCATACCAATATTTTACCATTGAACCCAGCAGTGGCCCTATTAACTAAATTATATAAATAAATATTTTGATGATATTTGAACATATGAATAAAAAATTATGTTTCATCACGCCTAAAAGTCGTTAAATTTCTTTCAGGAGAAACATTCCCTTTATGATACGTCTCTCATCTATGAATACCAAAGTTCAATCTTTTTTTCTGTAATAGGTGTCTGATCCATAATGCTGTAAATTGTTGTGGAACTACCATGGATGTTAGGGATTTTGATTTCAGTAGTTTKAACTTTGGTGGAGCAACAGGCTAACTTCTGCTGCCTTTTAGAACATAGAAACAGTGCATTAACATGGGGATCATTGATCGGTGAAATGGTAAAATGTTGGCCATTTCTATAATGCTCTATCCTACATATACTTTATTTTGGTTACTTTCTTCTAAATGTGTACTATTTCTTCCACAGTCTGGTCCTTGTCAAGCACGGATCTTCACAACAAGAATGTGCATCCTTGTGTTTGATTTATTTATTTCTTTACCTTTAATTTTAATCGCCTGTCAGTTGTATACATGTTTGTTTGTGCTGTAATCTAATTATTGTCTTCTCATGTGTTTTCTCTTTACTATTTGGACAGCCCTTCTTTTTGCCAGTTACATTACACATCATCCTTGCAGCCCTCAAAGAGTGGAGACGGTACAAGAAAGAGCAGGCAAAGTACTTGGCATGGAAAGCTAAAGCAGAACCGCAATCCTAATCATCTTACTGGCATTCAAATTGTCATTCTCATGCATCAGATCTCTATTTAAACGACACTAGCAGTCAAAGGGCTAATGAGAGATGAAACATCCCGTTCACCATGATCATATAGCTATTGTCAGCGGAAGGGTATTAGCAGTATTTCTCCTGCTAGCCCTTTATTGTTTCTATTCTGTGCACATTCAAGGGTACAAATTGATTACAATTGCCTGTTAGCTGAGGTGAATGTAAAATTTTCTGCAAAAGGTAATGTCATATTTCTCTGTTTCTTTACAGTGAAGAAAATACTAACTGTTAACTTTTATTCCAAAGTAATACAAAAGTAGAATATCAAATACCCTCGAATTGCAGTTTGATATATCCTAGTCATAATATGCAGAGAATTTGATCACTCGTGCAATTGGTTCTACCTGTCAATGGTTTCCATTTGCTTTATCGCAAATACAAAGATTTTAACKAAAAGGGATATCAAGTACTCCATTGAATATTAGAGATCATCTGATTTGGGCCTTAAATTTACTTGGCCTATAGTGTCTCTTCCCTAGAATTGGATTCAATTATTTTCACTGAAAATTTGAGGCAAGGTTCAAAGTATATACAAGGTGTATCGGCCTGTATAGGTTTTTTTTTTTCCGAATCTGATTCAGAGGGGTCGGTTTAAGGCCCCAATTACCCTCTGAACCATKATCTGACCCAAAACACTCCCTGTAGGGGTGTATCAGGAAGGCCATGATACGATACATATCAGCCAATACGGGCCGATACGTAATGATATTTTGAACCTCGATTTGAGTCTTTTCTCAAGTTTCAATAGCTTTTGAATGCTTAAAAAGCTCAAATACAAGCTAATGAGATGGAAGGTGTTGTAATCGATTGCCGATACTTTTTTTCTGAAACCGGTTTAGGGCTCCTCCACCCCCTGAACCAGTCAGACCCCCAATACACCCACTATAGGGATGTATTGGAGGGGTCCCAGAATGATACGTATTAAACCTTGGTTTTGAGCATATCTATTTTTGGCAAAATTGTATTATTGCCATCTCCACGTTACATCCGAGCTTAAACGTCAGAGGCTATTAGAGAAGGGCAACTCCTTTTATCTAGTGATACAAGTTCAACTTGGGTGGCCCAAAAGGCATTTTTAATTGTTGTCAAAGAACTTGTTTTCACATGCCATATACCAGCTATTAAAATCATATGAAAACCAATATTTTTAGTAGCTGTTGGGTTATCGAAGTGTAAGTGATGGGATAAAATCATCAAAGCAAATAATAAAATGGCAGTTATGAAACTTAAAAAGCTTTAAACAACCAAATAAAAATCTTTTCCATGGAACACCATTAAGGGGAGCCTTTGTCACAATGTAAACGTCCAGGGGGTCTGTCACAAATGAAAGGGATCTTTGTAATTTATCCAAATTTAAAAATTTTATGGATTTTGTTAATCGACTTTCCTCCAATTCTTCTGATACACAAATATTACCAGATCACATGGAGATGGATCCATATATCCAATTACAAATGCATCAAATTTAAACCAGCCTTAATTGGATTGGATGTGCAACTATACAGTATACTAATTAGTTGGGCAGCTACTAAATATTAAAAAACTCAACGCCTAAAATTTCGTTCTTGCTGAGAAAAATGACTAATGTATATATATATATATATATATATATCAGTTTCAACTATTCTATATTAAGTAAGATTTGGAGTCGAAAGACTTTTTTGGGCGAAAATAGTGGAGGGCAAGGCACCTTTAGCACCTTGGATACAGATCTCAAAAAATTACCTAAAATCCCCAAAAAAAGATCTACCTCAGCAGACATCGAGCACAAAGTTATGGCCCTTTGAAGTTAAAATTTATGTGCCAAAGTTTTTCAAAAAACCCAACCGGTTTTCTAAAACCAAGACAGGGTCACTAATTTTCTGGTTCAAAGTTTCATACATCTGRGTCAGCAATTTTAGCCAGTTTTTACCCAATGCAATTTTGGGAGTATGACCGAACTGGCTAGAGGCCCAATCATTTGATCCAATCAATGAACTCGGATTCAGTCCTAAAGAACGGTGCTCACACAATCTCTGTAATTCATGTTTTTATTCATTGGGAGATACTCCCAATCCACAGTTGCAAGTGGCTGTGAAGATTGAGGACTGAACCCGATCTCCCAACCAATCCGGTCCAGTTTTCTAATCATTGAAAATTACAAAAGATGTATGATTATTATAAAGAGGACTTCATGGGCACAAGCTTCCATTAGATGTGACTTTTTGCAATACCTAACTCCACATTCCTTGAATGMAAGCAAAAATTTATAAGTTCTCCAAAAAAAGAAAAACACATGATTCGTTTTCCAGATTCCAGATGAAGAATTCTTTTCTCGCCAGAAGGGTAAACAAAAGAATTCTTAAATTCTGCTTCAATCCACCCCCTCCCCCTAGGGAAAAGAACACTAACAAAGGAAAGATAATTTGGATACAAGATAAAGATAGCAGGGGAGATGAACGACTTAGATACAAGGATACTAACAAAACCATTAATATAAGTTCTTCCTTTGTCGCAATCATCTCTTTTAGTTTGATGTCAATACTACTCTCCCAACGATGCCACTTCTACAATACAATGGAATAATTAAAATTTAAAACCAAAGAGGTTACATGACAGGCTTATACCAGTTAAAACATTAGCCTGCGACTGTGCAAGGTAGTGTTGTGTCGGCCTCCAGGATAAAGCAAGCAAACCTAGATGACTCCCAATTTCAGACTCTGGAATCCAAAGCCAAAAGTATCTTCTTTCTGGGACCCTGAAGAAACCACAACCATGTTGTTAAAATTTCAGAAATAACTAAAAGTAGATGGGTTCAATCCCTGTTCTGGCTGAGAAAGGTCATACTGGGGTCTGCGCCCATGCATGTCAATATTTGATAGCTGACAGTAACACTCTTTGATTATTAGAAATGTACAATTTACTATGAGATGAGATAACAGATGTAAATCATTTTACCTTTTTGGATTTACTATGAGATGAGATAACAGAAAAGCATCTACCAAAAATCAAGTTCCAAGATAACYGTGATACAAAAAGCCAAATGTATAAAATAGCCATCAGTGTTGTTGGCTTGGTACAAAACACAGGGTTCCCAAAGTTGGTATAAAAACATGGCCAACTATTATGTACAACTACCAAATCAATCAGATATGGGCCGTGCAAGTAGTTGGCATAAAAGGGAAGGTACTGTAACCACAAGTGTGTTAGAATATTTGATCTCAACACAACTTTTGAAAATTTGCTTATATAATAGCTCTTGAAATCTTCAAGAGCAAAATCAAAACTAGGGGAAAAATCTGCAGAACTAAAAGTGATTCAAGTAGTTTGCAAGCTTCTTTTTCCTTGTGAACGCATTTTCTTACTAACCCTTCAATAGTTTTAAACGAAGGTTTTTTATCAATAGTTTAAACAAAGGTTTTTCTTTTTATTTATTATTTAATCCCATCATTATCATCATTGTCTTTTAGGTGATTCAGATAGCCTGATGCACCTAATCTAATCTTCTGGCTTTAGTCATCCTAAGATCTAGACAACCAAGTCAAGTTCTAAGAGGATCAGATATTTCCCAGGTGTCAACTCTCCCAGGTTTACTGTTGAGTTGATCCAGATCAGGCAACTCCAAAGCCAGATCACCTGGTTTCTAAACACTGCACAAATAAAAACTGAAAAAAAAATAATAAATAACCGACAAAACCATTTCACTTAAGATACACGTATCCAAGAACCTGTTGAATGTAGCCTAAATCAATTCTTGAATCTAACGGTGTTTGGCATCCAAGAAATATTTCCTCCAAAAAGGTTTCTAAGTAGCAATAAGGTCGCAATAAGTCAATCATGACTAAAACTTCCAAGGGCCAACTAATGTTGCATGCAGAAAGAATGTAAAAACAAAAATCAGCTAGAGGAGATTTTTCAAAATCCAGAATTATCAAGACAAGCAAAAGAAATGAAAATAATAATGAGAATTGGGCACTATTAGAGTTAGAATAATAATGAGCCAAAGTAGCTAGCAAGTCTAAATGAGCTTACCATAGGAATCCCTAGGGCTTTAAGGTCCTCATCAGTCATGTGAACCAGAGCAGTCATGTCAATCTGAAGGACGCAATATATATGTTAAACCTAAATAAATTAAACTTCCAAAAATACAATACAACCAAAGATTACATACTTCCTCCGCCTGGAAAATAATCAAATATTTTTCTAGACCCAGAGATTGTAGGAAGCCATCCACTGATTTATCATCCTGCATGGGTAGACATGCATTAGGAAAAGGTGAAGACTAACATTTTTTTCTGATAAGTGAAAAATGAATATTAACAATGGCAATAGCATCATAAAATTAGGAATGAAAATATTTAACGTAAAAAAATAATGAATTTATAATTTTAATTGCTTTTTAAGAAAATATTGTATTAGGAATGAATGAATAACATAAGCCTAAAATGTGCCTTGCCTGTGAGCCTAGGCGTGCCTTTTAAATTACTGCCCCAAGATACTCTGAAAAGCTCCCTTTCCATCCTACCCTTTTTATGCCTTTCTCTTCTATGTATCTCTTCTCTATTTCCTCCAATAGTTCTATTCCACAAATAGAAACTACCAAAAATTGACCAAGCTTAAAAACTTTGGCCACAACACAACGAAGACATATTCTCATTAGAAATATTTCCACCAATTGCTTGCTGTGAACCCAAAGGTAAGGGGAAATCACTTGGTTTGGACTTAACTCTTCACCACTATATAGGGCTCTGATTCAAAGTTGAATATCAAATTGCTACCTTCTTTTTGGCTGATCAGCATGGCATCCAAACAAAACGTGGTCATCAAATGCCCAATAGTCAATTTGGCTTCTGTCCAAGTGCATAGCCCTGACAAATCTTCTTCAAACTGCCTTGCCTGTTCAAATTCCTTATTCGTTAAAGTATTAATGTGCTTGGCTTGTACTACGCCAGCTTGAACACATGGCCCACACTTGCCCACCTCATCATCTTCAACCTTACAACATAGCCTCTACAACTCCTACATGAAGAAAAAAAATCCTGATACTGAATTTTAAACCCCTCAATAACATTCTGATGGATCTAGGGATTGCATCTGGGTGGTATCCCACAACCATGGAAGCAAAGCAAAGATTTTAGAAATTCAACATATACTTATCAGCCTGCAAAAATCCACCACAATTTTTTTTTGAAGAATCAAATAAAACTTCATTAAGAAAATATTACGTACAGCAAGAGGTGCAAAGACGTCACCAGAAGCAAGAAGCACCCACAGAAAACCCAAAAAAAAGATCCTAAAAAACCACACCTTGTACAAAAGATTACCCAAACAACTCTGATAAAAGATCATGAGATAGACCCAATACCAAAAACCCAAAAAAGCTAGAAGCCACYCCCCAATCTAATCAAGCACAAAAACCCTTCCAGATGCCCACATCAGTCTTCGTCTGTGAACTCATCCTCTTGATTYGAGAATTCCTCATCCCATTCCTTGTTCCTTTCCATCTGTACTTTTTTCTTCAATTTCTCTTCCTCTTTTTTTCTTTCAAATTCTTCGAAGGCCCTCCTAGTAAATTCCTAACCATGCCAAAACAACAGACTCAAGCTTTTTCCAATTGTGACCTCTCTATCCACCAATTTTTGTATGTCTACCTTACCTGAAACTTCATCCACCACAGAAATCACCCATTCACCTAAGAACTACTTCCGTCCAAAGGTTGAAAGGAAGCCTGGCAATTCCAATTTTTATCACTTTAGAACTAATATGTGGAAGCATCAAATTTGATGTTGAGCACCATCTAGAAACCTCTAAAGGTCCATAATTGATGGTAACAGCTGTCAGACCATTCCAACCAATCCCCAAATGTAAGAATTTACATTTTTGCCCAGAACAAATGATTTCTATACACCCCTTGCTTTACTAGTTAGCCATCCCCTATGTTGTTCCTCCAACCCTTCCCACCTTCTGAAAATAAAGCTCCATCCACAACCTTTAAACCGGACTACTGTCTTCCCATCAACTACAACTGATCCTTTATCCCCTTACAATTTTCAGCATCACTTCATCCCTACAAACTACCTCCTTGCGGATGAAACTCTTCACCTTGATTTTGAAGGGTCAACTCCATGGTTGAAAAAACAATGCCATCTCTAAGGTGGAATCCCCACAAACTACCTTCTTCAGAATCAAACTCTTAGCCTCAATGTTCAACAATCAACTCCATATTTAAAACAATGAGGCCAAGTTGGGATAAGCATTGGGCAATGGCCTTCTTATATAGGGTTTCGCTGTTCATCCTCATCAAGGGTTAAGAAGAAGATGGGTCTAGCAGCTGGTGAATTGTCTTCCCTCTCTTCCCATGAACCAGTTCCATTTCTTCCTATATTTAGTTCATACTCATTTATTGAAGACTCAGGGAAATTCTGGTTCAAGTAATCCCATTTAACTGTGAAGTTAATTCTCTTTTGTAGGTTTGGTTGCATGATTCCACAGTGTCTCTAAACATGTTGCATTAATTCTTGTTTGTTTTTCTTTCTAGGGTTTTCCCATTGTTCTCCTTTTTGCATAAACTCCTGCAGATTGGTGCTAAGGTTGGTTTTCAGAGAAAGGTTTTTACCATAATAAACATATACATATTGGCATTTCTAAATTTGAATTTCTGTAATAACCTCCTACTGGCAGAAACCGCTAAGTTATTTTCTCTTCCTGCAATCCCAGATATCGAGCCCGGCATACATCGTAGATGGCCAGGCATATATTATCAGCTCAGGCAATGTGCTTTTGCACCTCTATCAAAACCCAGCCCGGCCTGGTCCGGCCAACAACAGGTCCCAACTAAATGGGCTCCTTCAAAGAGATGAATCCAATGGTATGTTTTACTCTTTATCAGTGGGACAGAAAACTCTATTAAAAAACAAAGCTCTCAAAATAATGCAAAAATCAAATGGTTAACAGGGACACACGACCAGCCATGGTTTCTCTACCCTTAAAACCTAATATGTTCCCTCTTTACATCTAGCACCCAAGACCTGTATTCAGCACCTTGAAATTAATCTATAACTCTAGAGCAGGAAATTACATACAGTAGAAAGCAAACTTTTTGTACTACCTTTTGCTGAGTCTTTTTCCTTGAAGCAGTCGAACTAGAAACTTTTTTGGTCTCTTGTGGACACGCTTCAACTGCAACATTTTTTCTAGCAGGCTTGGTAGCCTCTGCTTGTGGTTTTGACTTAGGCTGATCAGTATTTGCTGGTTGCAGATGCATTGTACCAGATAGTTTTTCACGTAGATCCCGGACACCTGCAACAGTACTCTTTCCACTTTGGTATTCTTGCTGGATACCCTTCTTTTGGAGCTTCAATCTGAGGTCTCGACTATCAACTTTGTTATCTTTACATGGAATGAACATAACATTAACATCATTATGTCAAACTTAATAACTTAAGTATGATATTTGGTCACAAATAACCATATCAAAATCAATACATACTTGATAGTTGTGGTCCATCATCCTCATAAAGATCGTGTTCCCACTTGTCATCATTTGGCCGCTGCCTGTGAAAGATATTGCTTAAAAACAAACATAAATTGCAAAATCTAACCCAATAGCATACATGGAGCAAAAACAAGAAACAATGAGATCCTTACGAAGTATACCACTTATCACTTGAATTAAGAATAAACAACTATTCTATTATCTATTAATCATAATGCTACATAATGAAGGATGGCATGGTCACATTTCCAGGTCACATCAGTTCTAGAAAACTTGATAAATAGCAGTGCCCACAAGTTCTTGCAAACATACCATTCTTGAAAACCCAACTACAGTTGAGAATGGCATAATGGTCCTTAACACAAGATTAATTAAGAGGGACTTCTATGCACTTTATCATAAGAGGATGGCAATGTGTAGCAAGTTAATCAAAGTAGTGGCAGAGTTAATCAAACTTCCATATATGCTAAATTGCCAACCCAGTCCCAGAACCCTTAGGTGTAATAGCAGCTTTCTTTAATAAATGTAATTCAATTAATACGAAATATGGGAGGGGCTGAGGCACAATGCACACRCCTAGGCACACCAGGCATGTACCTTTCCAAAGGGACTACACCAGGGCCTAGGCAGGGTGCAGACCTTGAATTTTAATCACTGGTCATATCCCCATTTCCTATATCCATGTTGTGTCCATATCCACATCCGAGCAAAATAGGTCATCAGGTTAATTGGAATTTGGCATTTAGATCTAGAAGAGAAGGATGTCCCTGACCTCCAAAAGTCAAAGCTTTTTGTTCGGAGGCTGCATTGATGATCAATATGGGGGAGATATTTCGAAAGGAAAAAAAAAAAAAAACCTGTGTCTATCTCCTCATGTATACATCTTTTGTCTAAGGAAAAGGAAATATATTAATCACCTCTTATCCTGTCAGTAAACATCCCAGTTACGGAACATTCTCTTCATCTTTTTGAAGTCTTGGTGACACTTCAAGTATCCTTGACTAGTTTTTATCTCAGTTAGTCGCTCTTGGTAAAGATTATGAGGTGCTGTCCTAAAGGAGCTATTTTACAGAGGATATAGGGAAAAGGGAATACAAGTATCTATGAAACAATGAATTTTTTTGGTAATAAATAAAAAAGAAAAGTTATTAAGAACAAAGGAAGAGAATACAAAAGGGGTGATAAGATATCACCCAGCACAAGAGAAAAGTAGAAAAACCTGGAAACCAGACTACATCCACCAAGAAATTCCTTCCCAAAAACCCCAACAATAAAACAAAAAAATCACCCATTCAAGTTACCCAGGTAAACCTTAAGATTTAGCCCTTTGATTCCAAATCACAAATTATGAATTGCAAACCCCTTCCCAATAACTAGGGAGTAGGGATTACCCATTTACTCCATTTTTTCAAATTCTTGAACACCGACATCTACACTCCTGTTAGCTTTATTTGATTTCTTAACTTTCTTTTTAGGCCTAACCCCAAATAATTCCGCAAAGACTTTTGAAACCTGACCAGTTCGGTTGTTTCTCTGACTTTTGAAGCATCTTACTGCATTAGGATTCTTCTCAATGATCTTTGAAGCCATGGAGTTAGCTCTTTCTAATTCCAATACCCTATTTTTTTAAAAAATTCTGACCTGCAACCAATCCCTAAAGACCTCATACCACTTTGATCACCCAAGCTGACTGCATTATTCTACCTCAGGATCCAGGTTTTTATTCTCCCTCCTCATCAGTACACCAAATCTTTCTTCCGATTTCTTAAAAGCTTCCCTTGCAAATTCCTCCCCGCTAGAGAAAAAGATAAAAAAAAATGTTGTTAAAGGTTCCATTCTATACTTCCTTTTTCTATTTTACACATTTTCACCTTGATCTCCTTGTAGCCAAAATGTTTGGGCTCCACTTCACCCTCTGGAATGACTGCCTTTACCTCCTTTCTATTCTAGCTCCTTCCTTCAAACCTCCGTCTCCTGCCACTTCAAAAGCCAAAAACTCCTCCACAGAGCTTCAAAATACCTCCCTTTATCCTCCTTTTCACCAAATTTCTTTTTATGACTCCCCCACGGCCCTGCCAAGCTGACACTGCACTTTTCCAACATTACTGTGTTCACTGTCTCCAAATCCTCATCAGGTTCCCCATCTTTTGCCAAACCTGAATTTGCACAAGCAGGAGCTTGAGAAACTTCCAACAAACATCCTTCCTTTTGAACTTGAGTCGATACTTACCCTGAAGCTCTGCCACTTCTTAAGGGGCAAACTGTATTTCCTTCCCTTTTCCAACACAGATATTTTTTTTTATCAATAACAATTTCATTAATTCACCAAAAACGTTACATAAGGAAGACAAACAGCAAAGGTCCTCAAGAAAAACAAAAGAATAGGAAGATACAATAAAGTTACAACTTAGCCCAAAACATTGAATCCCTTTCTGCCCCTTGTTTAGCTAAACCATCAGCTAAAGAATTCACTGATCTTTTAACCCAGCACATCTTAACTTCCATCACCCACACCAGCCACTTAAATTTCCTCCTCAGATTGCTATACTTCCATAGACCATTGCTGTTTGCATTCAGCCACCCTATCACCACCTCCRAATCCCCTTCAAATAGGAGTTTTCTGATGTTCATCTCCTTAGCTTTCTGGACTCCTTCCATAACTGCAAAGATCTCAGCTCTAAGGGAGTCACCCACTCTAATTGGGCCTGAGAACATGGCAAAAATGACCTCATTCTCATCCCTAAAGACACCCCCAATCCCTGATTGTCCAGGGTTCCCCCTACTACTCCCATCAAAGTTTAATTCATGAMTCCAGCAGGTGGAGGGGTCTAATACACACTCATTACTGACTTGGTCTATGTGCATTCTGCTATTTCACCCCACWTCCTCAACATGTCATCCACCGTGTAATCTGTGAATAGTTCCAAAGATTTCAGCCACTGAACAGCCCTAATATGAATGATAGCCTTTAATTCTTCCACCCCTCTCTCAGCTTCTGAAAATATCCTGAAAATCTTTCTTCCCATAATGTCCAACATACTGCAGCCCTCAGTCCTCTCAACATAGTCCTACGCCACCTGAAGAAAGAAGGGGAAAAGAGGCCCTGTAGATCTGATGGAGGGTTCCATCTACACCCAAAGAGGGAAAAAGCCCATTCCCAAATTGACCTCGCAAAATGGCAAGACACCAGTAGATGAAAACCAGTCTCCCCATCCGCTTTACATAGAACACACCAATGGGATGACAAGCAAGTATTGGGTCTCTTCTTTTGGAGTAGATCACCAGTGTTGAATCTTTCCAGATAGGCTTCCCAACAAAAACTACCAACCCTAGGAGTGATTGCTCTGCACCAAACCTCATCAAGGAAAGAGGGGGTTCCAGGACTGGTGGACTAGCTTAAGACTTTGAAAAAGGAAGCACAAGAAAAGAAGCTAGTGGGGGTAGGGGTCCAAATTCTAGAGTCCGCTCTTGTAATTTGCTACTTAAAACCCAAACACTTATCCTTTACTACAAGTTGTCTCTTCCAAAATGTAGTGCCTTTAGTTAAGCAACACTTGTAAAAATCAGCACCTTTAGAACTTGTGGGCTCGATCTTTGCAATCAAGCTTACATTTATCCACCCTTAAGGAAAAATTCTCAAGAATCTTCAAGTTACAGTCTAGAGGAGGTCGCTCCAAGGAGAACAAAGCTTTGAACAACTCAACTATTCAAAACATGTTCCAACGAAGATGATGATATACCAATTACACCGTCTACCACAACCTTATCCAGGTTCACATGACTCTTTAATTGATAATGTACCAACTGGAATAACCCAGTTGGTATCAATTGACAATAATCCTTTGAGTTGCTCAAATCAATTTGCCACAATGTTAGGTCCACTACAATTAAATCACCTRCCTGGAAACATGGGTCTTCTTCCAATGCCCCATTAACCCCACAAGTACCCACCTCTACTCAAAAATAATTACCACCCAACCCACCTAAGTTTAATTGTCGAGAAGAGTTTATTTGCTTGTTGAATACATTAGAGGTTATTGAGATGCTTGGCACTTCAATTCTACCAGAGGATGCCACCTACACGTAGGACTTGCCCCAAGTTTGCTCTCCACTTCCCAAAGATAAGCTATTATTGGAGTTTTGGAATGCATTTTTCCTTCTATAGGTCTTTCCATTCCTGTAATTGAGCAGTTTTTCTAGCAATTTCAAATAGCTAATCCTTTCATTCCATGTAGGTCATATTCTTCAGCTTGTTCGTTTTCCAACTTGTGATTTCCACTCCATAGAGCAGCTTCAAAAGAGGTAGCAAGCTAGATGCTGAGCAAATCCTATCAGAGAGACCTTCAATCCTCCTAGGAATGTACTTAGGCCAGGCCTCACTCCCACTTAGCCTCACTGCTGCTGAGTGCAGGTCTCTAACGAAAAAAGCTCCTAAGGTACCACAAATTGATAAAATTGATTCAAAAGTTGCTTGCTGCCATAAGTGGAATGGAAGTTGCCTCATCTTCTAGATTCAATACCTTCGCATTCAAACTTGGGCACCATCTAGATAGTAAGATCATTCCAGCCATGTATTTGTCAGGAGGGGCTGCATCTCGCACCTCTCTAAGGGATCGTGCATGAGATTGTAATACTGAATCAGTTTCTGTTTTAATAAAATTGCACTATTACTCATCAAAAAAAAAAAAAAAGATCTGTCCAGCCTTCATTTGAATGGAGGAGGCTACAATGACCACATTCTCATCTAGCAAATCCAGTAAAGCTTTGTTTGCATCAAAAAGGGTTAGCATTAATGAACCCCTCAGTCTCAACAAACTACAAATAGCTTCACCTACAGTCAACCAACCTTCTATCTTCTTCTTTTCTGACAGCACTAAATTGTTCTCCCAAAGCTCTCCCCCCTTTTCTGACAACAATTTTAAGTTCTCCAACATGACTTGCCATTAGTAACTTTCCTTGCTCTCCTTGGAAATCTCCACCCATCCTCTACTTCTCCCCTCTGTAAAACATGTTAATTGTTTCTCCCCTACCCAAAAAAATCCTAGAGTGCAATCTATCTTCCATTCACATTACTTTTCTTTCTGCTACATATCTCCTTTCACCATATTCCTTCATTGCCCTCCATTTCCCTCCCACTCTAGTAGTGGTCGTGCCATCTAAAAATCTTTTGAACCAACCAATAGCTTCTCCCACTAACAGTATCATTGCCTTATTAAAATTCCTGATCTTCCAGGTAGAGGTGTAAGTGAGCCGAGCCAACTTGCGAGCTACTCAAGCTTGGCTTGCTAAATAATTGAACTCAGCTTGAAATAATCAAGTTCAAGTCGACTTCGACTCAAATTGAGTAGTTGGTCATGCCAAGTTCAAGCTTTGCAATATCCAGCTCGAGTGGCTCGCAAGTATAATCGAGCTCATAATAAAATATTATTTTATATTTGTATTTATAATATAAATAAACATTAGTTTTTTACATTAACTTATTTATAATTTTTGACATCAACTTATTTATAATATAAACAAATACATTTATAATTKATTTTCATAATATATATTTATTTATAGTATTTATAATATTAATTTATCTATAATTTTTAATATATTTATTTTAAATATTTTAATATACTTAATATTAATTTATTTATAATTTTTAATACTAATTTATGTATAATTGACTCAAGTTGAGCTAAGCTTGAGTAGCTCGCAAGTATCGAGTCAAGTCAAGTTCAMGCCAAATACATGAAAGTTGAAACTCAGTCAAGCTCGAGTCGAGTTTCAAGCTCTGCGTTTTTTAGTTGAGCTTGAGCTCGAGCAATCTGATACCTGGCTCAACTCAACTCAATACACCTCTTCTTCAAAGTATTTTTCCCTTTGATTCTTGTATCCTCCAATAGAAATCTCGTTGCTTCAACCCTCAAGCATCTCCTCCAAGGCATCTCACATTATTACTTCTTGCAATCCATCCATAAAGCTGCTCCATATAATATCTAACTCACTGATCTCCATTCCTTGTTTCAGCACAAGCATGGTGAGGGTGGCTAAACCACAGACTCCAATGCAAATGAAGTGCTCAGAAACTCTATAAAACCTACCATGTAATAATTTGTCATTGGGTACACTATAGTGAGGAATTCAAAGAAATTTCTATAGATGAACTACAAAGGAGATGGCAGATAGTGGCTGGGTATTAATCAAAGAGAATTGATGAATGATGATTGCTAATAGAAAAGCACCTCGAAATTGAAAGTTAAAAATTTCAATGGATGCCTTGGGTATGGGGGAATACTTAGAGATTCCAATGCATACACTGCCTTGATATTTTGGGAAGCAACCAAGAAATAAATTTTTTGAAAGCAAAATCAGTGCCAGCACTACAAGGAGTTAAGTTTGCTAAACATGTGGRTTGCACATCAAAAACAAGTTGAGGAGCTTGTCAAGTTTTAATAAACTAGTTGAAATTGGAGGAGGAGGTACTATGGACTTTGCTTGGTCAGACATAGAAGAGACTTGGAAATTAGCTAGAGTTTCTTGTTCAAATGGGTCCCAAGATCTAAAAGTAGCAGAAAGTTCAGGCTGGAGAGAACCGGCGCCAAGTGAACTCTTGTAAAGTAAAAAGAAAAAATGTTTCTACCGTAACGAATTTTCATTCATTGATATTTGAAAACCCATTATATTTGCCACAATCCTTTTCTTCTGAGGTTCGGTATCATAACAATACTTTGTATATTTTTTAAACAACGAACAAGAACTTCCACCATGACCTATTTAACCAAAGGGGGGGGGGACAATGAAACCCAGTCCCATCTGGCAAAACCCAAAACCCTAATCGAAGGTAGATGACAAGAAATAAAGAAAGAAATTAAAAAAAAAAAAAAAGCAAAAGTGTATATTCCAGCACACGATGTCTTCGTTCACAATCTAAAAGAAACAAAACCAACCATTTCAATACGCCCACCAAAGAAGAAAAAATACACGTCGAGCTCGAAACAAAGAACAAACCACGACGAGAACAAGAACGGACAAATAACAAATCAACTTTTTTTACCAAGAGAAGAAACCAAACCTTTTGCCGTTAACTTGCCTACTTCGGCCAAAATCATCTCCTATATTCCCGTTAAGTCGTTCCTTCACCGACCTCTTGCTTCCAGCCGCTATTCGATCAGCGTACATCGTAGAACCTAACACTCGAAACCGCCTCCCAGCAAGAACCAAACCCTAACGCTAACCCTAATTGACGAAAACGACAAACCCTAAAACCGAGACCGAGATGAGGATTTTGATTCCAGACGAACAATGAGAGCGCTTCAACCCTCTAGAAGTGAAAGACTTCCGGTACCAGAATGAAACGGAGAATACGGTTGGGGGAAGGGGAGGACTGGCTAGGATTCAGAGAATAGATTGGGCCTTTTCAGGAATTGGGTCCGCTGTAAATACAGTGGAAGACGAAATGCGCCATCGTAGTTTGAGTGTACCCCTTTCCCCTTCTGCAATGAACAGAGGAAATCAGAGACTCGTTTTTGTTTTYTACAGAAAGAGTTAGGAGCCGGAAATGCGACGGTTGCCGAAATACGATACGTCAAAATAGGTTCACGGGTCGGGTTGGRTCGGTTTAATGCGGTTTTTCCAACCGACCCGACCTGATCGGGTTACCTGACATAGAAACCGAAATCGATTCAGTCTTAAGCAAAACCGACCTGGTCGGTTTGAGTCGAATTGGGTCGGTTTGGGTCGGTTTCGGTTCTAAGTTCATCCCTGTGATAAAATCTTGCTAATTTTAAAAACAGTCATAAATTGAACATCATTT